AAGTGCGCAAAGCCGTTTTTTCACTTTCGGGGCCTGCTCACCGAAGACGCGGAAAAAAAGGCCATAGTTTCCCTCCGGAACCTTTCTTTGCCAGAAGAAAAGTGAAAGTGCGCAAAGCCGTTTTTTCACTTGCGGGGCTTGCTCACCGAAGACGCGGAAAAAAAGACCATAGTTTCCCCCTCCGGAGCTTTTTTGCCAGAAGAAAAGTGCGCAAAGCCGTTTTTTCACTTTCGGGGCTTGCTCACCGAAGACGCGGAAAAAAAGGCCATAGTTTCCCCCTCCGGAACCTTTCTTTGCCAGAGGAAAAGTGAAAGTGCGCAAAGCCGTTTTTTCACTTTCGGGGCCTGCTCACCGAAGACGCGGAAAAAAAGGCCATAGTTTCCCCCTCCGGAACCTTTCTTTGCCAGAAGAAAAGTGAAAGTGCGCAAAGCCGTTTTTTCACTTTCGGGGCCTGCTCACCGAAGACGCGGAAAAAAAGGCCATAGTTTCCCCCTCCGGAACCTTTCTTTGCCAGAAGAAAAGTGAAAGTGCGCAAAGCCGCTTTTTCACTTGCGGGGCCTGCTCACCGAAGACGCGGAAAAAAATGCCATAGTTTCCCCCTCCGGAACCTTTCTTTGCCAGAAGAAAAGTGAAAGTGAGCAAAGCCGTTTTTTCGCTTGCGGGGCCTGCTCACCGAAGACGCGGAAAAAAATGCCATAGTTTCCCCCTCCGGAACCTTTCTTTGCCAGAAGAAAAGTGAAAGTGCGCAAAGCCGTTTTTTCACTTGCGGGGCCTGCTCACCGAAGATGCGGAAAAAAAGGCCATAGTTTCCCCCTCCGGAACCTTTCTTTGCCAGAAGAAAAGTGAAAGTGCGCAAAGCCGTTTTTTCACTTGTGGGGCCTGCTCACCGAAGACGCGGAAAAAAAGGCCATAGTTTCCCCCTCCGGAACCTTTCCTTGCCAGAAGAAAAGTGCAAGTGCGCAAAGCCGTTTTTTTCACTTGCGGGGCCTGCTCACCGAAAACGCGGAAAAAAAGGCCATAGTTTCCCCCTCCGGAACCTTTCTTTGCCAGAAGAAAAGTGAAAGTGCGCAAAGCCGTTTTTTTCACTTTCGGGGCCTGCTCACCGAAGACGCGGAAAAAAAGGCCATAGTTTCCCCCTCCGGAACCTTTCTTTGCCAGAAGAAAAGTGAAAGTGCGCAAAGCCGTTTTTTCACTTGCGGGGCCTGCTCACCGAAGACGCGGAAAAAAAGGCCATAGTTTCCCCCTCCGGAACCATTCTTTGCCAGAAGAAAAGTGAAAGTGCGCAAAGCCGCTTTTTTCACTTTCGGGGCCTGCTCACCGAAGACGCGGGAAAAAACGGCCATAGTTTCCCCCTCCGGAACCTTTCTTTGCCAGAAGAAAAGTGAAAGTGCGCAAAGCCGCTTCCCACTTTCGGGGCCCTAAACCCTAAACCCTAAACCCTCGAGGATGCCCAAGCTCAGCCCAGGGCACCTGGGCCATCCAATTCACAGACATGGCGCTCACCTCAGAGGGGGGGCTCACGGCCCACGTTACCCCCAAGGATGAAGGGTTCCACTCTAAAAGCTCCTCGAGAAGCTCGTCCCCACTTCTTCGGCCCCCCGAAATCTTCCCTCAGCTTCCCTGAAACCCATCATAAGCTGGACAGCTAGCTGCGAGTTCGCAAGCAGCCTCCCACCGCGCAGCCTCGGGGCTTGAGCGCAAGGTTCCCCAAAACGCCTTACACAACCCGCAACGGAGCCAACTTCACGAACTTCACAGCGCTTGCAACTTGCTTTGGAAAGACGAGCTCTGGTTGCCGCGCTGCAAGCAGTCATACCTACGACTTCAGGATGCAAAGGACAGCATGGTTCCTTCTACTGACCGAGGTAAGCGCGCTAGAAAAGGGGGTCTCAAGCATCCGAGGCTCTTTGGCGCAGCTTGTGATCGTGGTGTTGTATGCCTTGCTGGGCTTGAGGGTCACATTCAGCAACCAAAGATCCAGAGTTCACATACTGTCGACGCTTGCGCGAGCATTAGGCCGCACTCCTCTTCAGAATCTCTCGAAGAACTTTCGGAAGCAGAACCCCACGGTGCTCATTCCACAACTCCCATGCCAGGAGCACTGATCACATGGAACCTAACCGCAACCCCTTTGGCAGTTGCTAGCTTTCGTGCATAGCGCCTGCACTGTTGGGGAGCTGAGGATCGATGTACAGCTTCCTCCTCCCCCCAAGAAAGAGAAGGCCCGCTAGTGCGAGCCGAGAAGCAACGGTGTCTCTTTGGACCTCCCACTCTTGCATCTCCTGTCAGGGATCTTAAGTGCTTTGCTGCGTGCACAGTCTTCGGGCAAGATGAGCTCCTTCTTCACCAACCCCCCAACACAAAAAGGCAAAGCACAGCAACGAAAGGACGCGAAGGCTTAGAATTGGACTGCGGCCCAGACAGGCCTCTAGCAGCGCCAGGGCCCTGGCCCAGGAAGCGGCGGCCGCGGCCGCGGCCAGAAGGGCGCCGAAGGTGGTGGTGGTCGGCCGGACCTCATGAAACCGAAGCGGCCCCCAACCCCGAAGCCCTGAGCCCCAACTCAGGGACTGGAATGGATGCCTGCAACAGTCCCAACGCGGGCCTGGAGGCCGGCCAAGTCCTTGAAGAGGGCAAGCGACCGCACCCACCTGGTTGCCGGGTGCTCTGTGCTTCCTGCTTCGGCTCAAAAATCGTGGCAACTGCACCTGAAAGCCGAAATCTGGGCCATTCCAGCAAGTCCAACGACGACTGCGGGGAGAAAAAACAAAACTTGGTGGCAAGAGGCCGGAAAGAAACCCCCAAGCGGATCAAAGCTCTGAACCCAGTTTAACCCTGAGCCCAGGAGCTGGCTGGCATCTGCGAGTGCCGACAGCGTCACATTGCCTGGGCTTGGCGTGCGGTTTGTCTTCTACTCGGGGGCTCGGCCTAAGCCAGCCATGTCAAACCCCCCACATGCCCTGAAACCCCTTGATCTGCAGCTATTCGAGTGAGCCGGGTTGCAGTGGACGATGTTCCATCCCGTGCGGCCCACGCAGTCTGAGTGCGCCGATCCTCTCTTCGGGAGCTCCAAAATTCGAGCCCCGTAAGTGGTTGTGGGCGGCTAAGGATTGGGAACTCTACGTCTCAGGTATCAGGCGAGTCAAGCTAGGGATGCCACAAGAACCTCGCTTCAAAATGCAACGATGCTTTCCATGGGGCTGGGGGCCCTAACCGCCCTAACCCCTATAAACCCTACAAACCCCATAAGCCCCGTCAAACCCTCTAAACCCAATAAACCCTGTGAAACCCTATCAACCCTATAACCCTCTAAGTTCTAAGTTGGCATGTGGAGCTCAGCCCAGATGTCTGCCGAGTGTCGAAGCGCTGCCAAGACCTGAGCCCACTGGCCTGGCGAAGCCAGCTTTCATTACGAGTTGGGGCACAGGTGCCCCTACGGAAAAAAAATCAAAAACGGACAGGGACAAGCTGTCCTCAGGCTGGTGGCAGGGGAACAGTTTTACCCGCTTGTGCGCCCAGAGGGGTCTTGGGTTCGAAGTGTTAAGGGCCTCAAAGCATCAGGGCGCGAAAGGCTGCACTGTGGGATTCAATGTGGGGCCCTTTCCTCCTCCCTTGGGCCTTTTGCTCGCAGCGCTGCGAGGCGCTTCGTGAGCCGCCGGGCCTTGGAATTTCAAGTTTACTTGTTCAGGTCCAGGTGGCACGACGAAATCCTTAACTCTTGAAAGCGGGGGAAGAACGTTGAGACGAGGCACCACCGGCTGCCGAAACTCCGAAGCCCCGAACCCTCCAGTTGCGAAAGCGCTGAGTCACCTAGGCCCTTAAATCCCCATCGCAGCGCCGGCCTCTTCCAGCCTGCTGGCCGCACTGGCCCAGCCTCGAGATTCATTGCTTGGGGGGGGCTTGAAGCAGTCGGCTCCCTGAACACTAAGGCTCTAATGTCCTCGGATTGCCAAGCCTGTACAAGCAAACGCAAAAAGTAACGTTGATGAGCACGTATCTTGCTGGCGTGGTTTCACTGAGGGCCTGAAGCCCTACGCCCGAAGTCTACTCTAAGCCAGGCACTCCACTCCAAAACCCAGCGACTCTCAAGCCGCCCAAAAGTCAACCCAAGCCCCTTATTTAGGTGATCCCCCAAAAGCCCCGGCGACCTAAGAAATTCCGAAAGACCGTACCATCCCTAAACCCGAAACCCCATAAACCCTGCTCGCACTCCCAAAGCTAGTGAGCCATGGAACGCAAGCGGGCGCCGCGCCCCATGGCCCCGCGCGTTGGCGGCCATGGGAATTCAGCGAATGGCGGACGAAGACGGCGCGGCACCAGAGAGAGGGAGAGGGTTTAGGGGGGCCCCACCGAGACTTCGGGCTGTAGGGTAGGTGGGGAGTTCAGGGCTTGAAGTGAGGGTTCTCCAGAGAGTTTGGCTTGAGGCTACTTCGGACTGGGAGCCTCAGACAACTTACGACTTGAGACGGTGAAAAGCCACCAGTCCATCTTCATCTCTTTGGAAGCCCCACAAATTAGAACCAGTCGCTTCCCAACGCCTTCAGTCAGTGTTCCTCCCCACTTTCCTTCAAACAGCGCCTCCAAGGCGCGGTAGGCCTCCACGACCCTCCAGGCAGGGCTGGTCTCCTTGTGTCCCACGAAGCGTGTGTGGGGGGGGGGGGGGGGGGGGGGGGGGGGGGGCTTGAAGGGGTCGTTTGTTTTCTTGTCGGCTTTTTTTGGCATCTTGTTCTGGCTGCAAAGAACCCTTCTCTCTCTTTCTGGAGCTTCTGGCGAGTAGGGGGGGGCCCTCTAGTGAACCCCCTTCCTGGCCTCGGGCTCTCTCGATTCTCGACACGGCGCCCAGGCGCGCAAGAGAGCATGGACGACACTGTACAGTCGGGCTCCCTTGCAAACCACTGGGAGAGGGAAACGGGGTGGGCGAAAGATGCTTTCATGTGCGCCGACCGTCCTTCTCCTCCCAAAGCTTAAACGCTGAACCAACCCTAACCCTACCTTAAGCCCTACTAGTAGGGCGTGTAGCTCTGGACGCAAGCAGACGCATAGCTCTGCTGCATCTGCTGCCGGCCAAACTCACTCTTGCACTGCTGCAGACCTGAGCTTGCGGCAGTTTTGATTCAGGCTTCGGGTTCGATCGCAAGGGCTTAAGGTCTTAGGATCACGAAACCGTCGTGCCTGTCGAGTTGACAGCTTAAGTGCCAGAGTCGCGCCCACTTTGCGAAGCTTGGGGCAACTTCGGGCGCCTTTGAACCCTCAAAGCCGGAAGTGCTGCACTTTCCCACAATCTGCATCTCAACTCGAGCTGGGGAGCTGGTCTGCATCTGGGCCGAGTAGGCCTCCATGGCACTTCGCTCTTCGAAAGCTCGGGGAAACTCTCGGGTTTGGCCTGCAAGGTTCAAGCCTCGGGCTTTGGGCCTACGGTGTCTAAGGAATCCTGGTTGGGCTGGGGGGACTGCCTGGTTGAGGGTGGGCAAAACACAAAAGCAAGCATGCTGCCGCTTTGCCACATGTGGGCAAGAAGCCGAAGTTGAAAATACACGTATCTGCAGGAAGAAACAAGTACAAACAGTGTGGGAGTGCGAGGATGGCACATCGCAAGTGTCATCAACAGGAGCCTTAATCCAAAACCCCAAACGCGACGATGTTTCTACTTGTTCTGCACTTCGTGAGGGAGCATGTGCACGGGACCGACAGTGGAAGCACAGAGCGTATTTGGGAATATGATTTCGACAACCGGGACTGTGGCGGGAGCATGACCCAAGCCCCAACGGCCACGACCGCTCTCCTCTGCACGCACGTAGCGAAGCCGACCAAGAGACCCGAGAGGCAGGAACCCATGTGCGATATCCACCACGGAATGCGCACGGGATACGAGCGCGTGATTTGTCCCGCCAGATGGTGCTCGGTGATGACAACCGAGGGCCAAGGCTTGCGAGCTGCGAGGCTGTTTTTCTCTGTGACCCACAGCCCCACATCCCCGAATCCTAACCTATTCGAAGTTTCAACATGGCCATGTTGCAGTGCAGTGCCAAACGGAAACATGCAAACCTTGATTGAGCATGGCACACCCTATTAAGACCCTACCTACGCCAAGACCACGAGCCCCACTGCTGCCGGAGGGCCTGGCCAAATCGCTGCTCCGCCACGCGCAGCAAGCCCTGCCGAGTTGCAGGAGGTGCCTACCGGTGCTAAGGCCTCGAAATTGCGACCCGGAGGTCCTTTACTCTCAGGACCAGGCAACTCTGTGAGCCATAACAGATTATGGTGGGGATGAGGGGTGGGACTCAAAAGGCAGCTTTCTGACCCTTATATTTCTTTGTACAGGGGAAGGAGTAAGAACTCTCACAGCTACGGATCGTCATAAGCAGAAGAGAAAAAGGAGAGTCCTTTCGGGGGGGCCTCTTCGGAGACCCCGCCGAGGTGCGTCAGCTCCTCCGCAGGAAAGCGCTGCCTACTTTTCTGGTGCGTTGGCAGGAGTCTTTGTAAGTGAGGATTCCTGTAACGTTCCACCTGAGAGGATAACACTTGGGGCGTAGGCCTAGGCTTTTTGGTTGTTCACAGGCCAAGCCTAGTTTCTCTAGTCTCTCAAGCCAAATTAACCGGCCTACATAAACCCACCCAATTCCAAGCACCAACTCCTGTTATTGAGGGCGCAGCTCCTACTTCTTGGGGCTTGCGGTGGACAAGTGTCTACAACCGTGCGCTTCTCGGAACCTCGCAGTTGAACAAGCCATTGCTGCCGAAACTTGGCCATTGGCAGCCTATACCTCAAACGCAGGCTCCTTCCAGTGGCCCGCGCTAGTCAGAAGCCGGCCGCCACTGGGGTAAGTGAGCCTGTGCTTTCGGGGATTGAGGCTTTGGGAACCGCGCAGTTTGCAAGCCCAAACCTTCAGGCTCCTAAGCCCTGAAGGCCCCCCTCAGACCCTGAGAAACCAAAGGCGGGAAGAAGCCAGCTTTGGGTTTGAGTTTTCAACAACCATTGGCCGGCCAAAGTCTGACGTAGCTCCGATCTCTGTTGTTGACGAGCGGCATCACGTGCCCGGCCGAGGAAGGTCCCTGAGGTCCGAGCGCGGCAGCCTCTGTCAGCCTTCAGGAAACCCGTCAACAGCGGCTGAAACATGCAAGGAATTGGCCGGCGTTACGGCATCACCTCTATGAGTCCATGAGGCCTGCTCCAAACAGCTTGGATCGCATGCCAGAGAGGTGTCGGCTGGGAAAGGTGGTTCCGCCCAAAAACCCCAAACACTTCCCTGGAATCACCCGATGCAATCAGTTCAGGGATCACCGCCCCTCTCCGGGCCTCTGCACCTTGTAGCTGCCAGCAGCTTCCGCTTTCCGCACTGCCTATAAGGGGCGAAGGGCAAGCTGAACGAATGAACCAGGGGCGGTCTTCAGCTGGTGATTTTGTCTGCTCAACCCCTCCCTGACGCGCAGTCACACAGGCACCTACTTGTAGCAAAGCACGGAACCTTCTCCCCGCCGTGGCCCGAAACCTCAAAGACAGCACCCTTTTGGAGAAAAGAGAAGAAAATTACACAAAACGAACGGAAGGCCGGGTGCTCTCTACCCTTCTGCTACTTCCGAGCACCTCGTCCACCACTCCGAAGACGATGGTGGAGCCCATTGCCTGGGGGGGGGGTTCAGAGGCAGGGCTCTCCCAGGAGGTGTCAGATCTCCTGTGCCAATCCACCTTTGCAAAAGCCCTCTGACTGCTGCAACTGGATGCTATTTCTTTGTAGCTTTAAAGAAATAATCCGCAGGCTTGAAACCTTTTGCTGCATGTGAGATCTTAAGTCTTAGGTGCGTGGATGTCTGCGGTGCCAGTGGTGCAGAGCTCTCCGACCTGGACAGGGCTGTTTAGGAGATTCGGGCCTAGGGAAGTGGGTTCTGCATTTCCTTTAGCAGGCGCAGGCAGCAACTTTTACATCAGGGCACGTGTGCTGAGTTTGAGCATGTACACTGCAGCAATTGGGGACAGGGTCCACAGTCGACAGTCGACGTGTCGGAGTTGGAGCTTCTACTCCCAGACAAACCCGAAGTCACGAGGCCTTCACAAGCTGCTTGGATGAGCACTGCTTCAAGGTCTCGGGCCTCAGACCAACGCAGGAACCCTCCCCTTCCCTACATTGGATGACTTGGCGCTGGAGGCAGCTCCCCGTGCGACTCTTCCCGGCTGCTCCGCGTGGCTACTTGTGCTCTGGGTTCGGGCACCAATTCCGACTTCAGGATCGAAGAAGTCTCTTCGTGTTGAGCCGGATCTGAATTAGCCCGAATACCCCAAATCCTGGGGCAACCTGTGAAGCCCTCAGCCCCCAAACACGCCTCAAACCCCAAAACGCAGCTCTCCGGCTTGCGCAGCAAAGCGGCGAGAACATCAAGCGGATGCTTCCTGATGTGACACCTCAGCCAACAGGGGTATCTAAAGGTGGCAAACACCGCAAAATCACCGCAACATCCCCCAAACTTCGCATGCAAAGATACGCATCCTTGACACCTGCGTTTCCGTTCCTCCCCAGGCCAGAACCTTTATCATACTTGCCTGCTGGAGAAAGGCCTACTTGTTTTCATGCGCGCACGATGTGATTAGTCACATTTGAAGCAGCACGATTTGTATGAGCATTTCTTCCCAGGTCTTCCCTGAGACCGTGATTTTGCCATCTTGAAAGAAGACAGGGAAGTGGGATTCTCCTCCCGCAATCTAGAATCCAAACGCCGATACGAACGGCGACGTAATGCTAGATACTCTTGCGCATGCGACTCTGCCTGACAAGGAGCCCTAAAACCTAAACCCCACAACCCCTCAACCACAAAACCCCCAAACCCCCAAACCCCCCTAAACCATATACCCCTAAACCTTACAGTGGGGGGGGGGGGGGCGGGGGGGAAGTGTGTAGTTTCGAGCGAGGCGCCCAGCTGCCGAAAGGGCTTCGGCCCCAGGAGCTCCTCATTCCACGTGGCGATCAGCGCCTGGAGCGGATCTTTACGCCATGATACTCTTATGTGCGGTTATTGCATCATGCGATGATACGACGATACCATTGTGCGGTTACACTATTTTGCGGTTATCTTATATTGACGTGTCCGTGAAGCTACTTCGAGGTACTTTCAAGCCCATAAGCCTAGGGGAAACTCTAGACGGTCCAACCATCTACCCGCCGCTGGGCGGGGGCACCGCTTTTTTGACTGATGAACCCACCTCCAACGAATCAGAACAACTTCGGAACCAACATTCAAAAGTGCGGCATACTCGGTTTGTAGAGCATTTCTTGTTGTTGTCGTGTAGACTTTGAGCCGTGATTTAAGGCATCTGCCTGCTCTGACAAGTTGTCCTCGAAAGTTGATTTGATCATCTTTGGTTCTCCTCCGATTTTACCCTAACCTCATCCTTTTCTTTCATCTGCACCATCACAACTCTCTTCATCAAGAAAGCGTCTAGAAGGCGTTACTTCAACCACCGAAATTCTGTTTTGTATGCTCCCGTAGTGGATGAAACTTTGCACAGACACAAAGAGACAGTTTGGCTATGAACTAGAACTTTGCACCACGGCTGCTGAAGTACGCAGGACAGGGCGGTTCGCCGCATGAGGCATGTTTACCCAGGATAACCTTTGAAGTAAGCAAAGTGGATCACCCCCGATTTGATGCACCCCATCCATCACAGTAAGTGCTGCTGCTCTTCATATTCACCGAGTACGTAATACAGAAGGATTTAGGTTAGGCTCCGGGGTTTTGGCTCACGGAGGTTCAGAAACTCTGCTCATGCTGCTCCCGGCGGGTCCGGACAGCTCCCGGAGCCTTTTTGCTTGATAACCATAGGAGGCAGATACCTTGCGTTACGTGCTTCAAAACGCGATAAAGCTTCTGTTTGTAAAGGGCCCAATCAGAAAGCATGGGGCTGAGTTCCGGGGCTTGCTGCTTTCTTCCGAGCTAAGGGAAACCCGGCGGCCTTGAGGCTGAAGTCCGCGAACCTTGGGCAATCTGTTCTGGAGGAGCATGAAGAGTTTCAAGGAGGGCTTCGGAAGTTTTGAGGGAAGTTTTGGCCCGAATTCCACGATTCTTCGGCAACGGAAGCAAGGATTCAGCCGCAAGCCTCCCTAGCGGCTCCAGAGACAAAGAGGGGGGGCTTTCGGAGCCCCCTCTGAGCGCTGCGTGGCTCAAGTCGACGCCGCGGGGCATCACCATGTAGCCGCGATCAAGCGCCAGCTTCGCCAGCTTCACGTTCATCCCGGTGCCCTGGGGGTGAGGGTTTCGGGCTTAGGGCTTAGGGCTTTGGGTTTAGGGTTTAGGGTTTAGGGTTTAGGGTTTAGGGTTTGGGGCTTAGGGTGTGCCCAGCGCCCGATTTGGGCGTTCTTGAAGGCGCCGGAACCCCCACAAGCTGTCTTTTGAGAACCGAAAACCGGCTCCATCCTGCCCACTTTTCAGGGATCCAATGATGCGCAGGGCTCCCTACACCGAACCGATCGCCGGGATGGACCCGTAGTAACTATACAGCCAATGTCGAAGGGCGTCAACACGCCCCCTATACCCCCCCTATACCCCCCCCTTATACCCCCGCCATTTTCCCCCCCTTATACCCCCCCGATACTTTGGGGTACACCCCCAACTTGGCACATAAGATGGAGCTGCAGGCCTGGCCTGATGAAGCTTCATGAAGTTCCGGGAAAGAGTCTGCATCCCAGCCGGCCCTGGGCGCGCTTCATGGTCGATGCGGCAGGCTGACAGCTACACTGAACTCAGGCCCAAAACAGCACCCCAACTCAGGCCCCAAATTTCCCCAAAACACCCCAACACACCCCAAAGCGCCCCAAAGCGCCCCAAAGCGCCGCCTCCGTGGGGAAAGCCGGCCTCGCTGCAGCCACTGCAGCATTCCTGACCAGCTTGGTAGCAGACGGAGTTGCGCACATCTAGCATCTACGAAGTACAGGTGTACATATACAATACATGTGTATATGTATATATGTAAAAATGCACCTATAGAGCATTGTATGTCCTATCGTCCGCATCTGTACGGCGCGTTTGTGGCAGCAGGGAGTATTCACCAGAGGGCTAATGCCAAGGCGCCCAGTTGATCACGACCTTCTCCTTGGGCACGGCCTGGTGAGCACAAGTGTGCTCCGGGATGGGCGGATGTAGGCTGCGGCAAACCCTGGAAGTCGAATGCCCCCTGAAACCCTAAAACCCTAAACCACCTCAAAACCCCCAAAACCCTAAAGCCCTAAAACCCAAAAAACTATTTTTTTAAAAAAAGACTCTGCCTGGAGGTCTTTCAGCAGCCCAGCCAGGTCCGGGTTCTCTGCGCGGCCCTCCTCTTGAAAACACGGAAGATTCAGGGCGTGGTCGAGATCACTTGGGCGGGCGTTCGGGTTTACAGCATGTAGGGTATAAAGATGTATTGAGGGCGGGGCTGGCGCCCCCGTCTCTTGAAGACCTGAGAGGACTGTGACCAAGGCTTTGGGGAAAGCGGTGCAATGCTTGAGCAAAGCCAGGGTAACCGCTCAAGACCGAAGATTCTGGACCTCGATGGCTTTGCCGAGCTCTTCGGCACTCTTCATCGCCACCTCCGGCAATTTCAAAAGGACCAAGCTCTAGGACCACCCGCAGCAACATGCACGGGTTATTTGATAAAAGCATCGTCTAACAGGCTACGCCTGCGGAACGTTCAAATTGCTTCACTCCACTTCACGGCCCTTGAATTGCATCAGGGACAACGCCCTGAAGCCCTCAGGGCTGAGGGCTGAGGCTTCACCCTAGATGCAGCTCAGGCACCGCGTACACGGCCACGACCTGCTTTGCATCCCCTAAATCAATGGTCTGGGCCCTGCACTCATTCTTTCTGCCCTGTGTCGGGACTCTCTTTCTGTGTTGTTTAGGGTGTAGGGTTCAGGGTTTAGGGTTTCGGATTTAGGGTTTAGGGTTTAGGGTACTTTGGAAAGAGGCCGACGGGCCGGCGGCCTACAACGTGCTCCTTCAAAGCCCCTGAGTGTGACAAGCCCCCAAGATCGAGGCCCCAAAGTGGCACCCTAGACGCTAAACCCGAAACCCGAAACCCGAAACCCTAAACCCTAAACCCTAAACCCTAAGCCCTACCCCAAGCCGAAAAGAAGCTCCAGACGCTGACAACTCTCGGGAAAAGGTCAGCCACGGGGCGGTGCCGTCGTCATCCGACTGAGACATCTCCTTTGGCTTCTTGGAGATTCGGGAAGCTTGGTCCAGTTGCTCAGTAGCCGCAGTAGCCGCAGTCACTCCTACAATATCAAACTCTGCTTTTGCTAGGGCTGGACAGCTGGAGATTTTTGAGGGCGGGTTGGGCTTTGGGTTGAGGGCTGAGGGCGTAGCTTTGAGAAGAGCCTCACCGGCGGTGCCGGCGCTCCGACTGGCTGCTTCCTTAAAGGGCCCTTCTGGAACTTCCGAGCTTTCAACCCTCAGTGGGCCTTGAAGATCGGGTCGTAGGAGGAGCCGTCGCAGAGGGTGATGATGATGCCACCCAGGGCTTTGTCCTGCCCCAAGGACCCCAAGGCGCCCCCAAACCCCCAAAGGACCAAAACTCACAGAATCACACCGAAACCCCTGCACTGCAAAATGCACAGGGGGTTGAGGGCATGGGGCGTGCAGGGCCCTCAGGCTTCGGCTGAAGAGGCTGAGGACTGCCAGCAACTTGGGCCCGAAGCTCAGAGTTCCCGATTGCAAAAGCCGGAAGATTCTGCGAAGCCGCAAGTCTTCATGGTAGGGTTTAGGGCTCGCAATGGCCAGGGCTCGCGGACTCGACTACCTGCAACCCACAACAGGAACTCCCCGGCTCACCATCCTGTCCGAACAGCTTCCCACCGGCCGCTGCTGGGCTAAGCTTCTGCACCTGCGGTGCTCAGCGGCTGCCGTAGGATTTGGGATGACTTCATCCCGTTGGCTAAGGGGTCACGGGCTCAGGCAACTGTGGATGCGGCTTCTGCATGCTTTTTGGTGGGGTCAGCTTGAGTTCCAGGCCTGCTGCATCGGCTGATGCTCAGGCATCTGCATGGGCTGCTGCATCTGCATCGCGGGAAAAGGCTGGGGACAGGCAGCTGGGAAAGCAGCCCCAGGCGGCGCCTTGCAAGGACTTTGTGCTTTACTAAAGCGTGCCAGACGCGTCGTGCTGCACGCCTTCTCTACGACGACACGTAACAGGAAACAACACCCAAGCGCGACTTGCTGTGGTGTGGGCGGCGACATCCGCCTCGAACCAAACCAATGCGACTCCTTCCTAGCCTGCACAGAAGCTGGAGAAGCCTGCTGCAAGTAGCCACTGGATGGCATGTAGCCATTAGGCTGCGAGAAAGCCGGCTGACCTATGACCTCGGCCAAAACTTTCGGACTTACTTGACTCATCAAGCTGCATGGGTATTGGCATTGGGTTTGGCTGAGGGAGCTGTTAGTTTTATACCCCTTCAACAAACTCAATAATACCATCAGGGCGCCACCTTGCGAATCAAAAAATATGGTCTGCCACTCCCCTCTCCACGTTTGGCCAAGCCGCTTGCCAGGATTGCAGCGAAGCGGCCTCTCCCAAATCCAGAGGGTGTTTGGGGAGGTTCTCAATTCTCAGTTCTGGCTTCAGTGCATGAGGTGCTCCCGCTCGCCTGCTGTGGTGGGGCCTGTGCCGCGGCGTAGGGACCAGGGGTCATGCCGGGCGCGGGCTGCGAGAAAGATGGCTGACCTACGACCTCGGTCAACACTTTGACTGAAGCCCGGGCGGCCACTTGACTCTTCGAGCTGCATGGGCGTTGGCTGTGAGCTTGAACCTTTTTACAGACTTAATCATACCATCATTAAAACCAATTAGCAGCTGTTGGCCGGACTTGCAACAAGGCGACAATTGGTATCTCGGATACACCAATGGACACAATCACACAGTGCTGAAGACGGCTCGGAAAAGGACTCCGCGAATTTGGCCTGCCACGCCCCTCTCCAATTTTAGCCAAGCCGCTTGCCAGGATTGCAGCGAAGCGGCCGAGGGTGTCTGGGGATGTTTTTCAGTTCTGGCTTCAGTGGCCCAAGGACCAAGGATGCATGCATGAAGTGCTTTGCAGCTCATGTTTTTGTACCTTCCTGTATCCAACCACTCGCCTGCTGAGGATGCTGAGGTGAGGCCTGCGCCGTGGCGAAGGCACCGGGCGTCGGGCCGGGCGCGGGCTGCGAGAAAGATGGCTGGCCAACGACCTCGCCCACGCTTGGCCAGCGGCCCTCCGCTTTGGGCTTGGTCGGTTTTGGAGTCATGGCCAGGGGCTGAAGACAGGGCCTTGGGAGCGCGCGTGGATTTTTTGCGAACCTGTAGACCTACATCTGTACTTCCCATCATCAGCAACAAGCAGATCAGACCTACCGAAGGTGAAGCAGCAAGAAGAAGAAGAAGACGAGGGAGCTTAGATCAGCGCACTACGGCCGCCACCCAACTGCACAATCTCCCTTTGTGTTGGGGAGCTACTTATGCTACGGGTTTAGGGTTTAGTTTAGGGTTTAGGGTTGAGGGTTGAGGGTTTAGGGTTGCTACTTATGGATCTTTGCCTGAGCCCTGAAACCCCTGAGGAGGGCTGCGCGTCATGACTTGAAGTTGCCAGGTTCATACAAGCACCCACAGGCCACCCCCAAACCCTGAATCCCGAACCATCACGGTCTCTTCGCGCCTGCCAGTCTTGCGTCAGGCCGGTCATGTTGCGATGGCCAGAGGGAGTATCTACACTAAACACTGCGATTGGGAAAGGCTGGAAAGGGCTGCAGACAAAGGGGAAGCACTGGCCTGTGACGGAGGCTCTGACCACAAGACCCAAAAAGAAAAACCTCGCACCTCAGCCCCCAAGCCTCACCGATCCTCACCGAGAGCCACTGAAGCCCCCCCACTTAAAATTTGACAGTGATCCCAAGCGATGATGCCCTCTAGGCGTCGCTCCCCGAGGTGCTGGATCTGCTCCGGCTCCGGCAGCGGCTTCTCCTGAAGAATTCGGGGGAAGCAGCCTTGAGCTTCTAGCCGGGGGTCTCATACTTGGTCTTCGGGCAGCGGGCTAGAGGATTCCTCCCGCTTTGTCCATTTTGGAGGTTTCCGGTCCAGATTCCCGAGAACAATGCCGGTCAGACCTCCTGAGAAGACCCTCCCTTAGACACACACCCAATATAAGCAGAGGCCCCCCGAACTTCTCCCGGCCCGAAACCCTAATCCCTGACCCCCAAAACCCTAAACTCTAAACCCTAAACCCCTTTCTGTCGCTCTGAAGGGTGCCTTGCGGAGCGCGGCCTCGAGGCCCTTGAAGGCCGCCAGCCGCTCGGCCCTCTGAGGGCTTTCCGAAAGAGAGACAAGAAGGCCGTCTGGTTTAGGGTTTAGGGTTTAGGGTTTAGGGTTTAGGGTTTAGGGTTTAGGGTTTAGGGTTTAGGGTTTAGGGTTTAGGGTTTAGGGTTGAGGGAAGGAGGCATATATGCTCTTCGAGGGGCGCAAGATGCGTGTGCTCTCTTCGAGTCTCCTCTGCTGCCTACTGTACGTCTTTCTTCGTCTCTGCTCTCATTGCAATGGAAGGAGCAGAGATCTTCAAGCTTTACATGTTAAGCTCTAGATCCGCCAGGCCGAAGCCAAGAACGACCAAAGGCCACACCTCCCCGAGAGACAAGCTCTAGTAGCCCGGTGCCTCTGCTCTGACGTGAGGGTCACGGAGAAGCCTTGGGAAAGCCGTCGGGGGGCATCTTGGATCGGAAGCCAAGAAGAGACAGGAGCTGGCACTCTAAGTGCTTCTTCGGGCCCATAAGAGGTACCAAGTACCCTCTTAAAATTAAAAAAAAAAAAAAAAAAAAAAAAAAAAA